TAAATAGAACAAAATAAAAGAAAAGAATATATATATATATATATATATATATATATATCAAGGTTTTAATTTCAATGTGCACCGCTCGATACAAGCGGTATGTAATGGTCTAAGAGCCTCTCGGCATGCGGACCGCCCACTACCGGGCGATACCAAAATTTTGACCCCATATCAGGCGATATGGGGCTATATCGGGTGGTAACGATCCGACCTGTACTGGGTGGTACCTATCGATTTCGACCGTTACCAACTTATATCAATTTTCAAACGATCAATTTAACCGTTGGAGGAATCCTAAAGGGTTTTTAAACCCTTTCCTCCACCCTCTTTCAATTCATTTCACTCTCATACTCTCTTAAACTCTCTCAAATTCATTTTCACTCACAATCTCTCTCTTATTCTCACATTTTCACTCTCCTAAACTCAACAAAGCAATAATTTATGGATTGGATCAATTTAGGAGGCTAATTTAGGAGAATTAAGAACTTTTTAACCAAGCGGTATGTATTCTCTTTCTAGATTTTTATTGATTTATGAGATGATTAAGCCTATTCTTTGTGATGTATGACTTAATAGGTCAAATGCTTATATTTCATGCATTTTAAGGATTGGATCATATGTTTGTGATGGTATAATAGGTTTTAATAAAATTTTTTAATGCAGCGATCAGTGATTTTAATGTTGATTTATTAATCAAAATTTGATCGATATTGGATCAATTCAATGTCCTTAATATCTATTAAAGTGTTTGACATGTTTATAGTGTTCCCAAGATTAAAGACATACTACATTGTGAGATTAGAAGAGGAACATTTAGATGCCATCAACATGAAGGAATTCATGTGATCCAGTTGGTAAAAGCACTACTACTCCCAACTCCAACAAAACAAACCCTGAACCTACCAAGCAAAGTTTCATCAAAGATTGAACCAAGACAGGAAATGGGAATGGATTGACGAATACAGATGCACTTCTAATCACCATCATCCTGAGAAAGAACCTACACAAAATCTTCCTATGTGGTTGGTCATGATATGGGGATAGACACACCATATAGACAATGCTCTTGGGCTTTAGGTATCCACACCACAGCCTCATCAAGTAGATAACACATTTGTGTTGTCATTACCAGCTGCAAATTCAGGCAAATACTAGGAATTCATCAACCTCTCCTGCAGAGCACCACCAGAAGTGGTCCAACCCATGCTCCAATGCTCATGGCTATTTATGAACTTCAATGATATCAATAAATGCCTGTGCTCTCCTACAATGACTAGCACCACCAAATTCTTTGAGATGTCAACAGCCCCAGTATGGCTTCTACAAGTATACTACAGTGCCTAATGTCAGACAATAGGCTTTTGAACCGCCTTCGCAACAAGTGATATAGAATTTCCAATAGTGACAATAGAATAATTGGTCAAATTATCAAGGTACTGCATCACAACATATGCTGCAACAACATCTCAGGCTCTCAGCATTCCTTACACTAAAGAAAATTCATTTTTCAACCAACAAGCTTCCTTAAACCAAGTAGCTCCTCAATTGCACTGATACAACCAGAAAAGCAAAGTGATGCTAGCAGTTTTAGCCCTGGAATATCAGGCATACCAATAGAAGTGGTATCTCATATTGGAAACCCACTTGACTAAAAATTTTTTAGGGCAGTGATGAAACCAAGCCTTCAAGGATGACGAAATACATGGTGAATCATTACATGCTACAACAATAGAGATCAATGGATTATTATCACCAAGAACTGAAAAGGTAATCAATATACTTCCCTAACTCTCTAATCAAAATTTAAATGTCATGCTCATAGGTCAATTGAGGAAGTAATTACATACTGAAATACTCAAAGCCTAGTAAATTGTTTGCATCAGCCAATGAGAACCTATTAGCTGAGGATCAACTTTCTTACCTAATGCAGCCACAAGCATGGACACAAATTGTTTGAAACCGAAAAAAAAAAAAGTCACCCATGACTCCACTGATTGCATCAGTCAATGGCACCACCACCACCACTCCAAGATTTAGAAATCTCATTCCGTACTATCCAGACAAGTACATTCTCTCACCACCATGCAATTTACTGCCTGCTTGAAAAGCTTCCCCATCGGTGCACAGAGACTAAATAACAGACCAACATACATTTCATTTAAACTGATCTTGAGAAACAAATCGGTTTGTAGAAAAGAGCCAATAAAATTTTTTGATCAATCCAGGTTACTGATGACTGATGAACTAACTAGATGCATCAATATGCCCATCAGTTTCCAAGGTGAGAAATACCTAGTCAATCTACTGCACTGATCTCAAGGAAGCTGAAACTACTATTGGTATGAAATAGTTCAACAAAGTGGCACTAACTTGATTTGACACTTCGACACAATGATAATCAAGTTTACACGATAGTTGAGAAGTTGAAGTAAGAACAAGCAGCCCTATTACAAAGTTCTAGATGTCGGACTTCCAAACTATCTTATGCTTTGGTTCGGCAATATCAATGCTCCACGACAAAGTAGATATGAAAGGTGGTAACTTGTGATGAAGCACCACAAGCAAGAATTCATTCCCCTTCTTTGTGGACTAGAGGGAACCAGCCATCCACCCTGGAAACAAGGCAGATCATAAAGGTGGGAACTTGTGATGAAGCGCCACAAGCAAGGACTCGTACCCCTCCTAAGTGGACTAGGGGGACCCAGCCATCCCTCGTGACTATATCAGTGTCTCCCGTCCAAGCTACAACCTTCAAAATGCATCCATATCCTCCCAATAAATGCCTCAACTCAATTTGAGTCCCTGTATCCAAGCTACTTTGATGGAGGTGTCTCTAACTGCAGTCAAACACGGGTCAAACCGATTCTATAGCCATCCCATGGTTGGCTTATATAAATTGAGTAGCATACTTTTGGATTTATTTAACCAGCCATTCCCCCTTTCACCCCATCTCCCTCTCAAACACTCCCTTCTTTCTAACTCTCGTTCTATTCCTAAACTATACCAAAAGTCACCTAAATCTCTCTAATTTCCTTCTAAAACAATTGAGGGAGGTTGATTCTCACAAAAAAAGATTCAATCTCAAGATCTGGTCCAATTTCTCTTCAAATCAAGGTATGTAATTAGGTTAGGACAAATGTTCGTTCTTCCATATTAGGTTAGATCTCTTATATGTAGACTCAATCTTGGGTCTTTTTGTACTAAACTTATCACCAGATTATTATTGATTAAAACTATATTCATGATGACCAAGCCTTTATCCTCATGGATCTGGACTAAATCTAAATGGATCTAGCCTTGATCCTTGAATATTTAGCTTAAATCTATCTTAACCTAGGGTTGAACCATTTGGATCTAGCCTGGAACTATGCAGAATCTAGTCTTGATCATCAACCACCTAGCTTAAATTCTAGATCCATTTAAATCTAGTTTAAATCTCCATTTTAATCTAGATCCATTATTGGCACTAAGATTTTAAATCTTTATCCAATATCAATACGGAGCCTTAGTCGAACTCGCACAATGCTAAGACCATGTTATGTCCAAGTGTTCATCCAGTTTGATATCAGTTGAGTTAGGCAGTTTTAATTTGAGAGCACATTCAAACCTAGGAGAAATCAGAGAGGTGGAGGTGAAGACAAGATAGAGAGGAGGAAGCAGTGATTTAAAAGGCGCTATGCATTAAAGGGCGTTAAGGTCCCAAAATGCTTGAGACACTAGGCGCTCGCCCAGGCACTCGCCGGAGCAAAGCGAGGCACTAAAATATAAAATATATATTATATAATTAATAAATATAATTATTTAAATAATAATATGATATTAAATTAAGAAAATCTTAAGTATAAAGTCATAATATCACATTAACAAAAGTCTCAAAATTCAAAACAATAAATAAAGTTAGTAGTATTAAAATCAAAATAATATATTATTAATCTAATAAATAAAACATATTGTTAACAGTATACTATTAGTATACTATTAGTGTTAACAGTATACTGAGTCTGAGTGTGAGAAGAGAAGAAACCGAGGCTGCTAACTAAGAGCAGCGACAATGGTGAGCAGCAATAGTGGCAACAGCGAGCAGCGATAGTGGCAATGGCGAGCAACGACAGTGGCAGTGACAGTGGAGAGTAGCGACAGCGGCAGCGGCAGCAGAGAGAGGCAAAGTGGAGAGCAGCGACAGCGGAGAGTAACGACATCATAAAGAAAATGTCGACGGCGGGGCTCAGGTTAGGGTTGGGGAAGTCACGAGGGGCAGTGGAGAGAGGCTAATATCGGTATTTTAGTTGGTTCAATTGAACCAACTAATGCAAATGCGATCAATCTAGACCTAACATGCTGGTTCGGTCGCCTTAACCCGAGTGCTCGCCCAAAGTGCCTGGCATCTGGGCTTGGCGAGTGCACAGGCGACGCCTCTTTGATGTGTGTCGCTCCGCCTAGATAGTAAACGAGGCGCTCGGGCCTCGCCTTGCCTCGCCCGAGCGCTTAGGCGAATGCCCGAGCGCCTTTTGAAATCACTGGGAGGAAGAAGAGAAAAAAGGAAGAGGAGACATGGGAGGTAGAGGAGAAGAGGAAGAGAAATACTAGGAGATTGGACAAACCGATGGTGATGGGCAAAAGGTAGGCACTGGGCGAGTACACACTTTGATATGAAGCATAAGCGGGTACACCCTTCAAACCCTAGCATTCTTGTTTTATAAGAAAAATCAATTCAACAATGAAAATAAAGGCTTCACATGTTAACATACACTAATTTTGAGGAGATAGATAAACGTTGATGCCATCCTCTCCGAGTAATGTAAATTCATCATGGGGTTGAACCGCTTCTTCCAAACAAGTAGAATAGGGTTTCATAAAACAGCATGGTCAAAAGAAAATATTTAGGACAATAGAGATTTTGGGGCTTCAGGTCTTATGCAATGGTAGAATTTAAGTAATATAAGTGGGAGACAGGAAAATATTTAGGACAATAGAGATTTTGGGGCTTCAGGTCTTATACAATGGTAGAATTTAAGTAATATGAGTGGAAGACAGGAAAAGAAAATTATGAAATAGAAAATGTTTTTGCAACTGTTCCAAATCCTCCAACCTTGTACCGGGAGAAGGTTGTGGCTTCACCCCACTCACATTGTGGGAAAACTTTATATAACTCATTCACTTGAGTTGCTGATGATTTAGTTACACTCTCTCACTCCCTCTTTTTATATCCCTAAGCATAAATAAAGAAATAAAACAAACAAAACAAACAAATAATATAATTACAAAATTACATAAAGCAAATCAATCATTTATTGTTTCTTTTTATTGAAAAAGATCATTTTAAAATTTGTTTCGAAAAATAATCTTCCTTGCTGTGAGATATTTGATTGATAAACCCTTTCCTTTGTAGACTCTTTTATTATTATGGGACTTCCTCTTAGGGGTAAATCTTCAATAGGATTTAGAAACTTCAATGAAACCTAAATATTGATTTCTTTCATTCTTTTTTATTGTCTTCCTTTTCTACTGGACTTGAAGTTCTAAACAATCTAAGAAACAAAAATAGAAACATAGGAGTTGTTGTCGTACAGCAAATTATATTTTCTTTCAAAAAACCCTCTAAAAGACCCCCCTAAAGTACTAAATTAGTCCAAATGAAAGAAAAAACAACTAGACTAAAATAAAAAAAAGTTCAATTAAACTTGAACATAAGTTCATCGCCAACCCAAGGGGATTCAAGTGGCATTTCATTTTCCATTCTTAATGAAGACCCTAAAGGTGTCTTAGTTTCCATAACCATGGTTATAAGTCTATGTAGGCTATTGAGTACTAACAAGATCGGACTAAATCTAGAGTAAGTGCCAAGCAAATCCACCTTGGATTAATGTGTTCATCACTAGGTAAGCATAAAAAGCAAAGTTAAACATCAGCACCTACATCACTAAAAGATGGATAAATGAAACAATAAAATAAGCATGAAGCTTGGCACTTAACTTAAAATCATGGCCAACAAAATGTATAGGGCACAAATAAAAAATGCCTAATTATATGACATGAGTTAAGATTTACACATGATTCCAGAAATGATGTATAACAGATATACTGAAAAATTAAGTCTATAGAAAAAATCTAGTTTACCAAGTAAATGAACATTTGAGTAATTACCACAGGCAGTGCATCAGTAGACAATAATGCCATGTCAAATATCTTCCTTGCCATGTCAATGTTCCCATAGGTGGCTTCACTTTGTGCATACACACCACAAAGTAGTAAATCCTTTTTCACAAGAAATAAAATATTGAAGTTAAGAGTATAACCAGAGAAAATCTCTATATATTCGTCAAACAGCAAGCTCGAATCCGAAAATCATATTTAACTGTTCAGACTTCAGAGATTGACAATATCCCCAAAACGGAGTACAAGAAGAATTTGGAGTTGAGACTATGAAAAGAAAGTATAATTGCAATAGTTCCAATTTGGGTTGACGTTGAATAGGTCAACATCATCACATGGACAACCTTTACTGTAGCATGGAACTCACCTTAAAAGCTAGCAGAGGTAAACCTAAGACACATGTTGGCTCTGGAAGAAGTAACAATTACTACATACGCAAATCAATTTTGTAAAATAAATAAATAAAATCAGTTGGCTTTAAATCAAAATATTCTGGAACAAGAATGGTTCATCAAAAATGAGGAAAAAAGATAATGTACAAACAAAACAGATATCTGTCTCCAATAAATACAGTATAAAATGAATTAGAATCATAAATGCCTGAAAATACACATACATTCTTCAAAGAAACATATACTCTAGTAAATGAAAAGATATATAAATGTAAAGAATTTAAGAGTACCTGCCGATCTTTCTTTAACAAGCTTTTGGCCAATACTCGAGATGGATTAATTGAGCAACTAGAAGACTTCATTTCAGACACAAACAAACATTCGGCAAAAAGCAGGGCTTCTTCTAACATGTGATTTCGTGGAAAAATATCAAGAAAAAGTAATATCGCATTTCGAAGGAACTTCATGGTACTAGTTCCCAATGAGATACTTGCATGGCTTAAAAGAGGTTCCAACACAAAATGGCTTTGAGGATCTTGTCTCTTGTTTACCAGTTGGAAAACAGTCCTTAGGTCATCTAAAATAATATTTGGCACTGTCTCTAAGCTGAGAACCTTTTCAATCCAACTTGACTTATTTGTACTTACCCTGAATAAAAAAGGACAGTTAACAAAAGGTAGAAAAACATGTCCATTGAAACAAATGCTATGACAGAGAATAAACAATTAGGAAAAAAGGGAAAAAAAACTTGTAAAAGCAAGAGATAATACATTCTTGTAATTGCTTTCGATTAGAACACACAAAAGGGCACAAGAAAATTTTTCCAGATGTAAAAGCAATGGGAAACAGTATTGAGCACAGAACAAATATTATAATATAGCAACATTCAAATGAGCAGTAGCTTAATCAAAAGGAAACAAAAGTAATACATAATTCATTATTGTATATCCTTTTATTATTCTAACCCTGGAGAAAATGGAAAGAAAAAAAAAAGAACTTTTCAGAGAGTAGATATAAAGGGGCCCTCAAATATGACCGTGCAAAAATACATGGTACTACTACTACACCATTAGGAACTTAATTTTCCATATGATACCATGCAATATAACCTCAATTAAAGAGTATACACTGTAAAAAACCAAGGGAAAAAATCGAAAAGGAACCATTTTCTCAATGATGTTGTATTAAGGTGTACCTCGACTACTAATACTGGTGAAGGCAAAAGAACTAAGAAAAGAGCATTATATTAAGACACACTAATGAGAAAGCATAGCAGGATAAAGAAACAAGGTTTAGAGCAATGAAGAGGAGAGGTAGCAGGGGAAAAAACTAAAAAGTATCCTGTCTTTTAAATCAACATAAAACAATGAAAATAGCACATGTTGCAAGGCTTCAAACATCTTTCGCCATCTTTTGCAGACCTCATCACCCTTCCCTGTTTTTTTTTGCGATAACATAAACTTCATACAACCCTCAACCTAATAGGTAAGCCATTACACACCAAGGTTTGTCATGCCACAGTATACCGCCAAATATAGGTGGTACATACTAATCCGATAGGGAACCAGTTTGTAGACCACCCTATATCGAGCAGTCCAGTTACATTAATAAAATAATTAAAGAAATGGTGGGGCCCATGTTCAAATCAACATAAAAAAGAAAAAAGAAAAAAAAAAGAGATTAGGGCTTGCGAATGCAAGCCCTCTTCTCGCATAAGGTGATACCACCTCGTCGCTGCCGCTTCACCTCTGCTACTTTGTCGTCACGTAAGGTGCCATTGCCTCACCATTGTCACTTCGCCCTTGCCACCGCTGCTGCTTCGCTTCCCCACTGCTACAGCTATTGCTTCGCCATCGCATATGATGGCGTTGCCTCGCTATCGTTGTTCTTTTCCTCCTCTTCTTTCTTCTTCCTTCTTCCTCCACTTCTTCCTCTTCTTCCCTCTTCCTTCCTCCTTCCTCCTTCCTCCTATGTTCCTCTACTGCTCCTTCCACTTCTCTTTCTTTTTCTTCATCGCCGAGCCACCAACACGCACCAATGTATCATATGTCGATACACTGGTACAGATCGATAGATACTGTTCCAACAATTTGCCGAAATGAGTCTGGTACTCGAAAGGCAAACCCTATTACCTGAAAAGGTTTGCAATACTGAATGATACCGCCCGTATCGGATGGTACATACCGGTCCGCTTGCTACCGAGCTGTCACGGACAAACTTTGAAACAGGGTGTTTGATGTAATGCTTATGTATGTCCGTGTCTTTTGGCATGTTCATGCCTTGTACAACATGTAAAGGGGGCGACCGAAGGCTTTATAGTCCCATTTGAGTTAGGTTGGTGGCCTCTTTAGGCTTGTAAATAAAGGTTGTGTCATGTGGACACGTGCGAGAGATTTTCGATCTGTAATGGACCATTTTACCCTTTGTTGTGCAACTGTTCAGAGCTTGTAAAGTCTGTTTGTAATTTGCATTGTCTATGAAGTGTTTTTCGAAGATGTTTGCTTGTGGATCCCGATTGAGGCGTTCTCTCTAACCCGTTCTCTCTTTTGTTGGTCCTAAGGGACAATAGGAGGCTTCGGGGAGGCTGACCTTTGCGGACGGACGTGCGAGGGTGCCGCACGACTTAGGCAAATCCAGCTAAGTCCGTGACAGATGGTATCAGAGCGGGACAAGCACTCATAGAAACACTTAGCATGCAAACGTGGGGGACCTAGCGGGGCTGCGTTGAGGGCAGTCAGCACACGCGCGACCGTTTGGGGGAAAACGGGCATGGAGATGTAGGGAAAAGAGTCGCTCAGAGGAGCGGGCATCTGAGATTGGCATTCAGAGGAATGGCCAACCCTTCGCGCAAGAGGCACCACGAGAACAGACAAGCTTGGAAGAATGCGGAGCGCACAAAGGTTGGGATGGCTGAGTTTGAGCTACGGCTCAACGTTGACAACTATACTTGATGGTGCTCAAGGCAAGCGAGGCGCTTGGCAAAGGATGAGACCATGCAAAGTGGAATGAGTTGCTCAACGATCGAAAGAGTTGTGCAAAGCTCATAGAGGTGAGGGGAATTGCTAACTCGAAGAATTCGGTACTCATGCATGGGCTTGTATGCGAACGATGGAATGTTCGTGGCCATCCCAAGGCGGCCGAGACTCGGCGCCATGGAGCATTAAAACTTTCTCTTCGGCATGCGAAGGATACGTCCGTGGGAGGCTGAAGGGTGCAGCGAGTTCAGCATGTTGCTAGGCCTTGAGTGGTGCAGCGGGGGCTGTATTGATGTGGAGTCGCGATCTAGCAAGTGCGTTTGCAGGAGGCAGAACAGTGCACAGTTTGTTCAGCAGATCGGAGTAGTCCAAGGGGATGGTGATCTCCAAAACGAAGAGAGATGTTGCTCCAACGGGACAGTTATCTAGGAGGGATAAGTCTCGGCTCTCCAGAGGGAGAATCATGTGAGACGGACTTCACATGTTGAGGAGTACCTCAACAAACAATAACTCCACGAAGCTCGACGGACTGAGCAAGCGACGGGGAGTCGTTGCATGATCTCGCTCGAGAGAATGCATTGGTGGATGCATTACGAGATCAAGTGGGGGAGCGACCTAAAGCAACTCAAACGAAGGCACACTTGGAGTCGATATGGAGATCGGACTCAAGGGAGGGCTGACCCGTGGAATGGTGGGCGCGAGGGCCACCATCGACTCAATGCAGAAGTGAGGAGCGGAGCAACTTGGGTGTAACTTGGCGAAGTACCCAAGCCGCATGAAGGGAGCCAGCATAGAAATTGGAACATGGAGCAGAGGCACAGTGCTTTCCTTAGACAGAGGTCAAGGACATGAACTCTTGCAGAGGCAAGAGTAGGATCATGTTGTTCTATGGGTCCTTCATTCTGACGGAGCGAACTCATCTTGCATGGTGCCAAAGGCGAAGGGAACTTCTAGGCACATGCACCTTATCTCGGGAATGCATTTGATGGAGGAACTAAGGTGACTCAATTTGCGGAGGCAAAGTTGGGTTCAGAAGGCCTTAGCACGGGGCAAGAGGACGCAGAGGCAGGTACTCTTGAAGAATATGCCACAGTGTTGCTAGTCAAGTTGCTAGACAGGAAGCGGTGCGCAGCGGATATTGTGCTGGTAGGGGCAGAGGCCCAGGATCCAGACAATGGTGCACAAATTACAGTGAAGTCGGTGGACTTCGGGAGCGCTACTAGGTGACGGACTGTCCTAGAGCGGTGCTTCATCTAGGTGTGACCCAAGAGTGGGTGGATGAAGGTCGATTGCCAAAGGAGCGAACAAAATCGAAGGTGGACTGCGATGTATTGGCAGAGGCCACACATGGAGGGTTCACAATTCGAGTTTATTCCACAAGGATCAGAATGCAATGGAGATGTCACTAGGAGGCGACATGGTGCAGCGGATCGTGGTGGAACAGTTCGTGGCAATGCGATACACACAACCAGCCCCGTGAGGGACGAGATCATACGGAGATATGATCGGGAGCTACTGGGAGCTCCACTTCGGTGAACAACACGACGGTAAGAAGGGCTATGGATTCAAGGAGTGAAGGCCATGGTACCGCAGAGGCGGGTCTTCCTTGCGTGCATCGAATCTTGCATCGGATGAAAACCTTGGTCATCAGCATATGGGGGCTGTGTTCCACCAAGGGAAAAGTTCGAATGCAAGTACCAGTGAGTCCCATTGGGAGGGACTTGATCATGCAGAGGTATGATCGAAGCAGCTGGAGAGTTGGACTGCTCCATAGCCATATTCGCTTAAGGGAGCCCGACAAGTCAGAGGACAAGGTCGAGTAAGCGAACGTTGCTACCAAGGAAGCTAAGGAGAACAGAATCGGTGCAAACCCTATAATGCGATGACAGAGGCCATGCATAGAGTTGCAGTCTGTCTTTCCATTGACCAAACAGACTGCTTGGAAAACACAGAGGTGTTGAAGCAGGGGGTCGAAAAGGGCGAGGAAGCGACGACGAGTCCAGAGGGACTTAGCTACCCAAAATCAAGCATCAGTTAGAATGGAGGTGGACTCAGAGGAGTGCCACGGAGACATATCTACTGATCGTGGAGAAAAGGGATGCAGATGCGAGGCGACGGATAGTAGGGCCATGGGCATGGCAGCGCCATGGTACCGCAGAGGCAGGACTTCCGTGAAAGTCATTGATCCCTTGCTCTCATGGAGGGAGAGCGCTTGGTCGTGAAAGGGGCCGAGGAGGTGGAGCATGCAGAGGCAATCTCCAAGTACCGAGACAAGGTTGAAGAGCAGAGGCCAAGAAACTTCGTAAGACCGGTGTCAACAAGTTTCTCATCAAGATAGCCGTAAGTGAAGGACTTCGGGTCAAACAAGAGTGCACGACCCAGGAACGAAGCAGGCAGTACGCGGTGCTGTACCTTTGCTACTCAGTGGAGTAGGCGGTAGGGTTGATGGAGAAGACGGTACAATCCCAGAGGCGACCTCATCTATCAGAGAATTACACCAAGATGGGGTGAAAACTTCCCGCATTCCAGAAGTTCGATGGCATTGAGAAGGTGAATCACAGTAGCTAACTCAACGCAAGGAGTGCAAACACTTCAAGTGCTTCAGAAGTGTGAGCAAAGAGCAGGCGAAGGCCAGTAACCAGCTCGATGCATGAAGTACAACCT